TCTATCACAAACATAATGGCCTTCTCTCGACGTACCTTTTCACTTTATTTTTTATGGCGAATTATCCGAAAACATGCTATATTTTGTCATTTTCTGTTATAGCCTTATTTCTACAAATCTTCTGTTATACACAATACTTTGTTGTACATGTTCGTACATTCAATAAAATTTAATGCATTATGGTTTCCATGCACGTACGTCTCATTAGCGCGGATTCTTTCAGGAGATTCTTTTGAGAACGTTAATCACCTAAACCACACTGACTTTAAACTGAGCATTACGAAAAACGTTTACATTCAAGTTGATTTCCGAGACTGCATTTTATTTGTATTTCAATAGATTGTATTATTTCAAAAGACTGTAACACACGTTTAAATTTAATGAATAAATAGCAGTTTGTGACATGTATGTATGTAGCACTGAGACAATTATGAAAAGGTCTTCAACTGAAAATGTGATTTACTGTGTCATCTGCCTGAGCGCAACGACGATAAATCCTTCCTTTTTGGCACGCGCTGAGTGCCTGTCTGAACGTGGCATCAGTCTGCCTTATTTGAAGCGATAATACAGTGCTTGTTCTGAAAACACCTGATTTGTCAATATCCAATTATCATTATTTGAAATAGATGACGTCACATAGTTGTCGATTCACTACATGTATGATACAAAAGGTGAGACAGTGAGACAAAATGTCATAACATTTAATATTCCGTGACAACTTCCAGAAACGTTTTTTTTTCCCCTCTACGATTGGAAGAGACGAGCAGTAACGATTACACGATACCACCAGGGAATTCTGCACTCCAAGTATTCCTAGTATAACTAATGCCCCGAGCTTATGTGGGTTGTGTTTACTTAGCTACCACGCACAATAGCAGTAAAACTTAGTTCACGATGTAACTGTTCTTGAAGGGGATCACTTGCATTATTTATATATACGGGTTGCACCATCTTTCCAAGATAGTGAAAACCATGCTCCAGAAGACCAAATCCCTCCGGCTCAAAATTAACAGCAACCCATCCCTTGAAACAAATTTACAAGAAAAACACAACCTCTTATTTTTATACACTATAATAATAATGTTTATTCAACCTTTGTATCGGCAGCATGAAAACAATAATACATATATTTAAATTACATTCATCATTTCTTTTCTATATTGCCATAAATCAGTTACATATTTCCTAATTAAAGCTGATGAGGTATTTCCCACAGTAAAATGGACAATATATCACACACTATATCAACACAGCAAAAATGCGACCCAGTTGATTCCTGAAAATATAAAAAAAAAATCCTTGCCATTTTGAAACCTAATTTAAAGACCCTTTAGGTGCCTCACATACACGTTGGTAAGTTTACACTAATAACCGCTTGGTTTTTACTCGGTGTCATGGTTACTAAAAAAAGATTTTTAGTAACCGTTTCGGTGTTCACAACAGTCAAAGTCGCCTTCTCTGTTTATATGAGACCCATATCTCGCGCATGCGTGGCGCGACGACCACCACCACTTAAGTTATCTACAACAAATATATACCACAATAAATCAGGTAATTGAACTAAGTAAAAGAATATAATCATTTCAGTGAACTAAATAATGTGATAAAAACAACAACAAGTGCAAAGACTAATACGGACATCGAGACTTGACATGTCGCTATAAACGTTTTTAGAGGCACATCATTTCACGTTATAGACATTTACGTATATGCCAACATGCAGAAAATAAATGTTTGAATGATACGAAAGCTCGAGCATATTAGTAACACTACTTTTGAACGCAGGCCACATTTTAAGGTAGAAACAGTAGAAAAACGATCTGACATTCTCTAAAAGTTACTAAACATGTTACTATAGCAACCTATACATCATCTGCAAGCTTAGATATAGGTGACTATGCCATACCAATGCTAAGGGATTACCTGACAGGCAATGTTATTCAATCAAAGAAATTCAAAATTGGTTTTACGCTTTGCGAGGTTCCTGGCTCCACGTTTATTCTGTACTGTTTTTATGGTAGAATGTTTGGTAACTTTTAGAGAATGTATTTTTTTAACTCGCTTTTTCTCTGCTGCATGTAATGACATTCTCAACAATGTGACCGTGGACGTACTCCGTGTTATACTCTCCATTATGAATGTGAAACAAATACATACAATCAACGATATATGACGTATTTACAGGAAGGATAACCCAAACGTGTTATTAGTGATGAACTCATTGATTTACTTTATCTCGATATTTCATGTTCTATTGAACATTGTAAAATCTATGGTTGTTCAGGGAAAGTTATTATTAATGATGACCATTGGTAAACAAAAATAACGTTATTGTACCAATATAAATGATGTAAGAAAGAAGGAAATTCATCACAATGTTTACGAATTCACGTCATATTATAATTAAGTATAAAACCATTGCCAGGCAAGGTAAACCAATAATAGACTTTGCATGGAAGCACGCAAGTAGAAAAATGAAAAGTGCATTCAGTTTAACCTCAAAAATATACATTAAAAACGTTATTCGAATTTTAATGAATAATTCACCAATGACATATGACAACTTTTGTTACAGATTTTGTAATTGAATACAAACCCAAATATGGATAGACAGTGAAAGTAATCAACGCAACGAAACAAAGGATAGTAAGCCAAGTCATAGACCTTAAAAATAAGGTATGTGGCCAATCATTTGTTTATATTAGACGAGAGAAGGAATAACAGTATTGGGCTGGACGACGGACAATACAGCTTGCAAAAATATAATGCCACTAGAGGGCGCAAATATAAAATAAAAATAGTCCTGAATCCAACGATATCCATGGGTGAAAATAATTTGGAATAAATCTCGAAATTATTTTACTAAATAACTCATAATAAATAGAAAATTGTGTACTGTATCTTTGAAAAACAAATCTCAATAATGACCATCATTCCAAGTTGAGCCTTGATTATTCTGTTTATTCAATAAGGTGAAAATATAAGCATGTGATCTTTTTAAACATATTGGCAATGGACACTGATTTAGTAACAAGCCGGCAGGCTGATTAGCGGTACGCTCCAATGAATGGTAATGGTAGGACATACTCAAAACACAATAGTAACTTAAGGCACACATACGCAAATTAGGATGAGCTATGTCCGGTCTTTGACTCAAAGATTTGTACCAAGATACATTTTGCAGAAGCTACAACCAAAAATCAAGTTTTCAGCCATTGTCATGGCAACGGAGCAATTTGTCATTTCAAATTTGTCCACTTTTCCGGAGTGCAGGTGTGACTAGCCTGACAAGTTGGCGGATCGCAGCAGTCCAGGGCGCCACCTACGCCACCTACGCCAACTTGTCAGGCTAAGGTGTGACCTGCTTGTTAAGTTTGGCAAAATTTAACCCCAACTTCAAGGTCAAATTTTTTGACAAACAAATACTAGTAAAAACATAGGTCCACACACAAGGCGAGTAGAATGAGATATGTCTGAGGTTTTTATTCCAAGATTTGTAGGAGATACATTTTTGCGAGAAGGTATTCAAAAATAAGTTTTTTTGCTGTTGCCATGGCAATGGTGGGCCAGGAATTTTTGCAGAATTTACCACCTAACTAGAGTGAAGGTGTGACCTGTCTGCAAAGTTTGAATGAAATCGTCCTAGAAAAAAAAAATACAGAAGATGCCAGACACACACAAGTGATTATAAGGACAATGATAGTGGAGCAGATCACCAGTAGTGATGTGAATGAGAATCCTGAAAGTATTTTACTTTGTTTTTTTTGTATTACACCTCCAGAGGGCGCTTTATTATTCAGTAATAATTTTTGAATTCAATCACACAAAGTGATCTACTATGATGAAATAAACAAAAGCAAAAATAACATTGGTTTAAATTGAGATATAATTTTTTATAAGTTTCAAAAGTTAGGTGCAGAACGGTATGTATATAAAAAGATGCACCTGTGATATATATTCAGAATATTTCAAAATAACTTTAAATGTCTGTAACATTCATACATATCACGCATAAGGAATCATATTTGAAAAGTGGTTCCAATAAATGGAAACAAACAAAATAACATTTTACTAAATCACATAAAATTTTACTATTTTTACTTCAGTAGCTAAGTGTAGAATTACTGGTTCTGTGTTTGATATATTAGAAGCACATCACTAATAAATGTGCGTATCGCCTAAAAAAGTTATTTATTTTGTCTCTGTGTGCAACCATAATATCTTTTTGGTTGCTTGGTCTTGTATGCTGAAAAAAAGCTTCATACAAAATTTGTTTGAATCTCAGAAAAAAATTATCCTGGTAGTGGTACAAAATTTGAAAAGAAAATTGCCCTCTTCATTTTGCAATTTGAGGATTTCAGACAAAATCAATGTCAATTCAACAAATTTGATCAAATCACAAAATAAAATGTCCTGCGGTATTACCTATGAGTATAGTACACATGTGCAAACATTCAAATGAATAAGGAGACATATTAGAGAGGAATCAACACAGACAGGAATAAAAACAAAATGGCTGCCAATCAGATTATGGTAAATCTCAAAAATGATATGATGTGTACCTGAAACAAGGACTAAATAACTCCAATTTCAACCATGATGTTGATGTACACACATGTGCTGCTAATAAAGCAAATATGATGTAATGTTTGTTTGTCTACTTGGTACATATGCAGATTATTAATTAATGCAAATTTCCTAGCATATCCCACAATACATTACACTTATTCATGTGATGAATTTAAACAAAAGTAGTAAAAACAAAAAATCCTGATATTTTCAAAATGGAACAGAATGTTGCACTTGGCATACAATATACAAATACTCTTCAAGAGATGAAATGAAAATTAAAAAAATTGTTAAAAAATCAGTAAACTCTGATCAAAAGATCAAATACTCAGTCACTTGTTACTACGTAAAGCAATACAAAACTTGAATTTATATTCCAGATTGTGGAGTAAACTAGAGATCTAAATCACCAATACATTTTAATACAATACCTAATAGATATATGGAAAAATACGATATTTAACAATCTGACAATAGCGTGTCCAATCTTTCCCATACTTTTTCTGACACTGGTGAGAATCTCTCTGTTCTCTGTGAATTAGCAATATCGTGAAGTAAATTGGATAAAACCATGGCAACACACTACTAAATCCACATGGCAATGACCACGCTATGGACATCAGGATATCACCAAAGTAATTTGGATGACGCACCATGCCCCACCAACCGCTAATAAGTAAACGACTCCCTGAATCGGTCGATATGCTCTTCAAGTGTTGCAACTTTGGGTCATGGGGATTTCTTCGAAAGCAATCTTTTTGAGAATTAGACCCTCTAAATATAGCATAACCTGCTAATTTTATAGCGATGATAGCAGCTATGGAGATATAAGATAGGTCAAGTGGATGGTCGACTAAATACCGTGTCTGCAAGCTGTAAGTGAAGGGCACCCAGACCAAATCACCAAAGGCAAGCATAAAACCAAACCCATCATGTACAATATCCATCGTTGTCAAAATGCACTCTTCATGCCACAGCCCATCTATTACATACCACGCCTGGAATACAGACACCAGTATAATCCCCGCACTGGGCTTGCCCTCAGTAATGCAAACCTTTGCTACCATGCCAAAATTCAACAACACCCATCCGATTAACCCTGGTCGCAGTTCGCAGAAAAACTTTAAGTCAAAGCTACCGATTCGGGGATTTAATTCATGACCCATGAAAAAGTCATAGAAAAAGTAACCCGAATTGCCTCTATCACACAGTGCGGACTGCGGACCGAGCTTCGCTTTGATGTACAGAAATACACTGAGCATCAAAGCAAATATCATCGCCGCAGTCGCTAAATGCAGATATTTGTCATATAGGAATGTTGACATGTATTTATAGTACACAGCAAATCCAAATGTTATGAAACTAACAATCATAGCAAAAAATGCATTGATTCGATATGTCAGTCTTTTTCCCGATTTCAGTGGCAGTCCTTGGGCTTGCCGACCTACTGGTAGCATGTACAGCGCTGATTGGAACACGAACCACCCCAGGACGACCAGAGTGGCATCTTTATCTATGTAGGAAGTGACGTCAGTTGGAATTACCGCTAGATTCAGAACAGTGCAGCTGCGAGGCTGGCAAGCGAAATATAGATAGTACACAGTTACTGGAAGCCCAAACACCATTAAAACTGCGCCGACCGGGCCCATGAATTCGTATTCTGTTGTCTTGGCAACCACAGCAGATTTGGCTTTCATCTCCCTCGCTCGCTTCATGTTGTTAATTGATGTTCATGTAAGATGGAATTAGTGGTTAGTATATATCACTATACGATGCAATGCAGAGCTAACGAAGACAACAGCAGAATGAACTGGAGGTCAAATAAGGTTAATCACGCAAGGCACCGGACAATTGTCTACGAGTACGAAGCTTCCGGATACAGACACTGAAACCACGGTTTCGTTGACACGGAGATCGTGTAAAAGGAGGATGTATGTAGGTAGTTCAAGGAAAAAATCCCTCACTGCGACGACAGAGTCACATCAATGACACACATACATGAACGATTCGAACCGACAGTCGAGATAGAATCAGGTGATGTGACGTTAATCACGTGACACTTACTTAAACTAGCCCCGCCCACCTAAACGAGTCATAACAACCAACGAAGAGATAAAGTAAATTACATTAAATTAAAATACACCATGACAATACAATACAAGAACAGAAAATAAAAATCTCATATTGTCACAGCAATTAAGCGAGGGTGTGTTATCATTAGACTTCAAGTTCCCTGACGTTTAGTACCAAGGTACTTGAATCAGGAGTGATCTATTGGGTTATCTAAGATAACTCCTGAATCCAGGACCCGTGTTTAGAACAATGCTTTAGTAAACTTTGCTGCTGTCCATGAAATCCAGATAAAAATAATATGGTCGCCGGATATGGCCAAAAATTATCAGATTTTGTTTGGTGACATATTTTTAAGATTGGTACTTAAAATTGTTTGGAATTATCCAGCTGGGAAATTCTGATGATTTTTTTGTAATAATAAACATAGATTTATATGAAAATGTTTCAAAATTGTCCATTTGTTCATGTCTTTCTCTGAAAAGTGGTAGCATGTAATAAATAGGTGCTAAATTAAAATGTTCGTCCCTGGATGGGTCTGTAGAAGTATCAGTGATGTGAGCGCCATCCTGCGACCTATGTGTCATTGTATTCGTTTCTACGTTGACCTTCACAGCTGGCGTTTGACCTCAACATTGGCGGGAAAATTGTGTTGTTGTGATCCGAAGCAAGTTTGTGTCGAAAAGAGCGATGGCACAACGATCTATAGCGTAAGTAAGCTCGATTTATAAAAGATACTACCAGTTCTGATTAGGAAGATGTTCCAGAGTTGACGCTTTTCTTTTTTTTCAGGTCGTTTTTTGCTTCCCCTAAGCCCAAGCCAGGCAAACAGGAACCAGGCGTTAAAACGTGAGTGATCGCCGTTTGTTTTAATGTCAAATGTTGTTGTATCGTTATAAAACATTTTGGTTGAGAATATCCCGAGTTTAATGACTTTTCTACCCGTTAGAATGGCCAGTGATATCCGACTTTGTACGACACGGTGTCTTCACACAATTCACAGTTTGTATACACAACCATACATAATCTTGGTAATTTATTCTCGTGTTTAAAATGATCACAGAGAGAAACCACCACTGAAAAGTAAAAATAGAAGTTCACCACCATCTAAAAAGAGTCCAGTAAAATTACAACCACCAAAAAAGAAGGCAAGAAGAATTTTAGAAAGCGATGATGAAGAAGAAGAGGAGGAAAATGAAGTTGTCAAGGAGACAAAGGATGTTGAAATGGAAAAAGAGCAAGCAGATGATAAACCCAAAGTACCGTACAGTCTATGTGTTTTGAAATATCTATAAATGTGCATGGTTGTAATAAATTTATTAACTCACAAAGTATGCAACAACCTTGAATGTGTAAGCAGGATTGGTGCCTGGGGACATCAATAGAATCACTATCTTGTGTTTTGTCACCAATTTTGAATCTCTGCTTTTTAAACTATAAAAATTTGCAGGCCTGTGGCTAAAACAACAATTGCCAAGAATATGTTTTTTTTATACATCGACCATTCATATCCATATATTGTAAGGTTAAAAGACAAAAAGAAAGATTTGTTTTTGGTTACATTTTTTTAATATATATATATTATATCAAGAAACTTTATCTGCACATTGTTGTGTCATCAAAAACGGGCATATTTCTTTCCTTTTTTTCAAATTAATACAAAATTTGGGTGTTGCCTTTTGAACTGATGTGCACACTGACCAGACCAGGTCTAAATTATTGACACTGTAAGACCATGGACAGCCACTGAAAACGGAGTGTATTCTCAATCTCCACAATTGCAACAAGAGAAGCTATTGATGAATTTTCATTAATTTGTTATTTGTTGCTAGGTGACTAAGAGCAGTGATGAAGAGAAGCAGTCTGATGATCAATCAGAGAAGTCACAAGATGAGAATGATATCAGATCACCAGGTCTTGTGAAATATACATATAGTACCAAATCACCCCGTGGTATTCCATTACGAAAAACAGGTTTGTTTTGCTGTGTGTCATAAATATTCATAATTGGTGTCACATTCAAATACTTTCCTTTCTTTCTAAATCTTTAGAATCTCATCACTCACAAAAAACATTTGCACATTTTTCAATGTGATTAATCTTTTGTGATGGCCTGGAAAGAACACTGCAAGTCATTTACAAATTATTACAGAAACAATGATAACTGCTCAGTCATATGTACATTGTTGAGCAGGTGTTGACAATCACTCGGTGGCCATAAAATTTGATGGTAGGCTAATCCCTTGTGGAGAACACTTACTATAGTTTGAATTGTGTTCATGTAATCCAATCATGTAATCCAGTCATAAAATCATAAAGTGTCAATTATTTAATATTTTACACAGCAAGGAAGCACATGAGGAAAGTGACTCCAGAAAAGCCAGTGAAAGTTGTCGAGAATGGTACGTCTTGCAAAGAATCAACACCGGTGCAGAAGGAAACTGAAAAGGACGAAAATGAGAAAGATGAGGAAAAAGAAAAAGTGGAAAAAGAAGTGAAAACGGGAAATGATGAGGAGGAAGAGATGGAACTGGATGAGAAACAAATTAACAAGGAGGTAATTGATATTTATAGAGGACTTTTAGAACAGTTGCTTGATGTACATAGTGAGGTCACCAGCGTAATTTACGACAAAATTAAACTGGCCAATCAGCAACCAATTTGCAATGCATTATTTACTTGATAGTCTGATCAAATACTGACAGTTGATATTTTCTGTGATCAAGGTCGTTTACGAAGGTCAAATGTGATGTATATGATGGTGACTCTTGCGTTCACGTTAAGGTTTCTTGGCATGTGCCAACATTTTTAATCATTTGTTTTTGCTGAGAGATTGCAGGAGTTGCGTTCACGTTAGTCAGAACCCACTTGGGACCGAATCGACTCGTGCCAAAATCACACCCTCGTTCTTCGATCTATTATTTGACTAAAACATAGAAAACGATACGCATATGACGATAATCAGTGTTCTCCCCAGACTCTAAGCCAAGCATCGCGGCTAATTTACATAACAATACATCTTATTTGCATAATTTTGTTTGCATAATAATTAGTTTCCCCAACAAACATTATAACTGAAATAAAGAAGAGATACATATCTCATATATTTTTTATCATTTACATTCATTGTGTTTTATGTGTGCATCAAGTCAAATACAGTTTGAAATAGAACAGGAAAGAAATGGAAATACTTATAGCCAGTCAGTAAATATATTGTTTATCCGTGGTGGAGGGGGGGATTTGTTTGTTAAATTTGTAAAATCTGTATG